TTTTTTTTTTACTGTGCTCTTCGCTACATTAGCATTAGGCATTACAGCGTTTTCAGAGTTCTTGGAGAAGTTAAACCTGAATTATTTTTTTAAATTTTAATTAAGATTGATGATTTATTTTTTCATTGGATGCACGAAGAAGAAATGAATTTGTTGTTGAAATGATATAGTTGGGTGAGGAATAAATAAATGTTAGTAGTTGTTTGAATGTTGAGTAGGTAAGTGGGTGAATGGTTGTGTGTATGTGTGTGTATGTCAGGGTACGCATAGGCTTGGTTAATACTAACTAGGCTTATTGGATGTTGTTTAGTTACGATGATCTTTATACATATATATACACATAATATGAACTTTTCAAATTTATATTTTCATATTGACGTTTTAAAATTACAGCAAAAAAAAAAAAAAAAGAGTATTATCATTTTTTTCTCGGAAAAAAAATCATAAAACATGGATAAAGAGTTGATTAGACTGAGAGTGAGTGCTCTTTTTTTTAATTTTAGCAAAAATACTTTAAATCTGTGGGAGCGACAATTATAAAAGGTTTAACGAAGCACCCTTATGTAATTATGAAGTTTTGAAGTGATTAGTTGTGTTGACAACATATAATAATAAAAACTGAATGAAAAGAAGTAAAGGAAAAAAGAGAAGAAAAAATTGGTTTAAAGTAAAAGATGACAACAAAAAAGATAAAAAGAACTATTGAGGATAACAGTGTCCAAGAGAGAACAGAAGAGGAATTCTGAACTAACTGGTAAACCTGAAAAGTACTGAATAAAAAAGAATTAGATTTTAACAGAGAAAGGAAGAGGTCGCTATTTTATCGTTACTGTTACTGCTCGAGAAACTTGAAAGCACCTGAGATTGATAACTATTATCAGTTGAAGATTCATAAAAACTATAATAATAGATGTCGTCATTACTTTTAATGTTATTGTTGTTATTTTTCTTTTATTTTATTTACTCATTCATTTTTTTTTTCTTGTGGTTTGTGCTGATAATGAAATCGTTGCTACCGGTGCCACTTGTCGATGTTAATGTAAGCAGGGACAACGAGAACATCATAGCTGATTAAGGCAGGATGAAAGGAGGAGAGATGAAAAACGGGGGAGTTCCTTGGCTGTCGGGTTGTCCTAGGGGTCGGCAGTCCCGTTGTTGGATAGACAACAAACTAACGACACCAGACCAGTTATACTGGAAACAGGCGTGATGCTTTGACATACGGCCATACGGAAGGGAGGAGGGGAACATGCATTAAAGCGGATATTAGCGGTGTTTATGCCAAATTATTGAGCCTTTTTTGTGTCCTACGAGCATGATTTTCATTGAACTGCTTCCCTCCTGCTAGCTGCTACTGCCGTTGGCTGTTGCTTTGACGTTGCTGCTGCTACTATAATAAGCTGCTGTTGCCGTTGCTGTTATTGGCGGTGTTTGGTTGACTGGTATGCTTGTTGTCCTACTGCCTGTCGTCTGAAATCTCCTCAACAGATATTTAAATATTCAAACTTGGTTGTTATATATTTAAGACAAAAGGAATAAAGACAAATACAAAGTATAAAAAAACACAAAGTAATAACATTAAAAAAAAAAAGAAACAAGACAGAAAAAAGCGAAGAAAAAAAATTAGGTGAAGGATAACGGCTACCAAATGCTTATTGTTGCCGTGTAGACTTTGTGCAGTTCAGCAAACGTCTGATCTTCGTCACCATCAGCACCACCATCGCCAGCAACAACAACGACAGCAAAAACAACAAGAAAAACGACAACGTCATCATCATCTTCCTTATTCCATAGCCGCCATCATCACCATCGTCATCAACATCATTACCACCAACACCAAAATTACCACTACAGCCACCAAGCATCATCATCGTCATTAACACATCGGCTCTATCATTATTTCCATCACCATCATCATCATTATAATCGTCATCCTATCCTTGTTTTTCATTCCATCTTCCACGCCATTATTAGGCATTATCATCATTACTACGAATACTAATACCAGTAATCATTAGTGGCAGTAAAAACAAGAAAAATAATATAAAAGAAAGGAAGGAAAGATGGCTTTACATAATCGTGTTGCTCAACTTCGTTCAGCGTATTCCTTTAAACGAAGATCTCGTGATCGAACGGAAAGGTTTGCAAAACCTTATATACCTTTTTTCCTTTTTTCTTTTTTTGTAGCTTTAAGCATCTTTACAAGTCCTTTTTATTCCTGTTTTTCTTCTGCTTTTAATTTTTACGGCAAGAATTGTTTTGCCTTCTAGAATTGTGAACCTCAAAATGCACATCTATTTCCTTTCAAGATTCCCTCATTTTTTTTTTTACAGTCTTTCTCTTAACGTAAAATTTGTTGTTATTTTTACCGTTAGTGATATCAAGAGGGCCTGTCCTTTTTGTTAGGGGCAAATATGTCATAGGTTGAAACAGACAAGTAAGGAAAGAAGAATTAAAAGAACAATTGGAAGAAATTTGAAAGAATGAAAGTCGATTCTAGATAAAGTTAAAAGAGAAAAAAGCTTCATCTCTATGGAAAATTTAATTTTCACTTATTTACTTATTCATTTTTGTTTTTTTTTCCTTGCCTTCTCCAAACCCGTTCCAAAATTTTTTCACTACTTTTTTCTTTTCTTTGCCACAGTATGATGTTGTAAGGAAACGGAGAAGAGAAAACCTCTGAAAAAGCTCAGAAATCCAAACTGTAATTTGCCGGTTTCTTTTGCTCACTCATTTACGTGTCTTTTTTTTTCTGATGTCCTTCTGAAATAAAGCTGTCAAAATTTGGTTGGATGCTAAGCATCTGTCTGGTATTCAGTTGATATCAGTCAGGGGACAGCACGAAATCGGGCTTGTCTTCCTCTTCTTCCTCGTTCTCCGCCTCTCTCCCTCCATCCGCGTCATTATTCTTCCAAAACTCCGACAGGCAGCATTGTTGTTAACTTAGTGA